TGCTTTGCATTACTATGACACACGTTTTTTATGAAGTCACTATGAATAATTTTCAAAGCTAAAGTCCAGATATTTTTATGATTATGATTTATATCTATATATTGCCTCTATCTATCTATCTTCAGAAATATGATGATCAATGCAATGATTGTTTTAGAAGATAAGGGCAGTACTGTAAAGGAATTTTCTATTGAAATCGTTCTGCGCTGTCCGACCCATGGTGCATCTTATATGAGACATGATTGTATTAGTTTTCCATTATTATTATTTTGAAAACTCTATAGTATATAGCATCACCCGTTCTTAAAAGCAAACAGTAAAATCCGTGCCACTCTCGCTATAGACCATGAATAAACCCGTAGTTTCTAACAAGAAGTAGCAAGAGAACAAGAGATCCACTAAAAAGTGGAGTGCAGTATACTCGCGATAGCCTCGAGAGCTGTTACACGAAGGCTTTGGCTCCTGTTCTATATAAAAAGTTATTTCTGGAGCTGCCTTGTTGGTTTCAGTATGAACACAGCAATGCTGTGCAAATATATTTATCTACAATATGATAATAGTTGTTTAGGATTAATTTTATACTTTTATATCAATTTTGGGGATATTAGGCTGGGGATCCTGCGAAAGCTATTTTAAAAGTCTAAGTAAGTACATGTAGTATTTCTTTTGTATCACCGTTTACGTTTGATTGTGTACTATTTAATAATTCGTTGTCATCTTTCACATCGTATAATTATTTTAGCTTCTCTTCGTCTAACTTCACATTTAAATAAGCTTTACAATACTGTTGTCAATAAGATAATATTATTATACGGCTTAGAAGCACTTACAGTGCTATAAAATTAACAAAGCAATTAAGAGCAGATTTAAGTTCATATTCATCACATAAATACGATAATGACTATCGTATTTAAAAGTGAAGATTATCTGAGAGAAATGATGTGTGTTAGTAACCGTACAACTTAGATACTGCTGAACCGGATTTATTATTTGTTTAGATACTGTGTTTAATGTGTGTAACAGAAAAATGGAAGAAATTGTTTGAGAAGTTTGTGAAACTAAGAAACTGATTTGTTCTAGTAATAAGCTTTAGTAATAGCTGAACTTAGAGAAGGTTGATTATCAAATTTTATATTACTTGCAGTTCACCAGCAAATTCGCCGTAGTTTCATTTGCGTTCTTTTGTCACTGAGGTTTTGAGGATCGTAGCGTGATTTCAAATTTAATCAGAATCATACCAATAATGTATTAAAACATTATCAGTTAATCATCAAGCAAAAGTCTCCATGACTAACTCATTAAAAAGCATCTACAAATACAATATTGCATTATTTTGCTTTTCATAACAAATGTTCATTGTTTTTCTATTATTATGTTAAGGATTGATAAAAATTTAAAACACAAAGCCATAGGTGGCTTTGTGTTTTAAATATAAGTAAGTATAATAAGTAAGTAAGTTCAAATATAAGTAATTTTATATATAATAACTCTCTAAAAAAGTTAAAATGTGAGTTAGAATACAAAATTAAAACATTGACTGGAATAAGCAGTATGAATGCAATGAAATTAAATAACAACCAGGCTAACCACAGCTTTTAATGCTTACTGCGAGATCAGAGCCATGAAATGCTGAAAGGATACAAACATGCCGTCACGAGAGCAAACATTGCTTTTTAATATGCACTATTCTATTACAATTACAATTGTAAACAATGCTATTAGATATTATTATTTTTTATTAGATATTCGACTGTTGTTTATTGGTTATGAATGGTGTATTGTATTGTGTTTAAAATGCTGCTGACAGCTAAATGCTGCAGCTGATTGTAATTTTTCAACTGTATTATCTATGGGTTAGTTGTGACTAACAAATTTTATATTGTCAACTCAATCGGTTGACAACAATGGGTTCTTTTCGTCTTTTTACTTGGGTTTCTCTTGAAATTAAACCTCGAACCTCTATAACTGTGTGACATTCTACTAACTCACTCTACGAGAAAGTGACAAATACCAATCAAGCAGTAGAAGAAGAATAGAAGAGAACTAGTACTCTCCCATAGGCAGACGTTGCACTAGAGAGTGCAAAACGATCGCTGACCTCCATTGTGTTTGCCTGCCTGCCGAGGGACGAAGGCCTATCTATATCATTCTATTAAAAGTAGGCCTGAGATGGCAGCACGATAAGTTCGTGAACGTCTCTCTAAAGTCTGCTGCTCCATCGAACTAAAAACACTGTGTGGTTTTAGTTCGTTTTCGTTCGTTGTTTGTTAGCCCCGTAGTGGTTTATATTTGCCCATAATACAGACAGAGACATAATACAGAGAAACAAAAACTGCAGCGCCATCGAACAAAGGATGGTAAACTGGTGTAAAAAAAAACATAGTTTGAAGGAGCTATAGTAAGGGAATACCAGTTCCTTACTGCAAGTATCGTTTTTTGAAAACTGCTTGAAGTAGTTTTAAAAAATTTGGGCGAACAAAACAAAAACACCACTAGATCATTCAATTAGAATAGAATATTTTTTAAGTAAAAAGGATGGTACTTATTAGACACCTTTAATCATATTTATTCACCCAATCCGAAAGACATATGGAGAATTCAGGCACTCGATAAAATATCCTTTCCTAGATATATAAAACTGCTAAGTTGGTCTGTAATCGTATACTTTTCAAAAACTCAAAAAGTTCGACACCGATTGAGCTTAAATTTTGACACCATACACAAACCGCTGCAGAAGTTTTCTTTATCTGTTTTCATCTCAACTTGGCTCCTCATTTCTTATCAATACAACCACAAGGTACGGCGAGAATGTTTTAATACATTTAATTATTAACTTAACTTTGTTCTGTGTATTCTTTCTTGGCCATAAATTTTTACGTTTCACATTTCTTAGATAAACGTTGCCATTCGATATCCAAAAGTGAACTTCAATTTAAGTTTGTGGGAAATGATAACAATTAATAATACGAGTATGATTTAATTATTAACTTGACTTTGTTCTGTGTATTCTTTCTTATCAATATATTTTTACATTTCACATTTCTTAGATAAACGTTGCCATTTGATACCCAATAGGGATTTTAATAGGTTTTTGCGTGTAAAATTCTAAACTTTAATAGTATGATTTAGTTTCTAATCATCTGCATAGGTTGTAAGGTATCGCCAATCCATTTTCGCGTTATACTAAGTTTGTGATTTGGGTGGTCATGGTTTTATTGTTTAACTTAAAATAAACGTTGCCTAGCTTTGGTTATAAATCCTTCTGGTAACGACAGACTGGCCTATGTTGTAATAGGCGTAGATTTAAATGCATTTATTCCACTCTTTTTACCTTTCACTTAGGTCGTTAGGGTCATCTTATCTCTGTTATTCTAGGGTAGTTTTTTATATGACTATTATTCTTGTACTACTCTTGAAAGTGTTAGTGTACTAACTATAATAAGGCTTATTCAATAAAAATATTTGATTTTGGATATACGGCCTCTAAACACTATGTTTTCTTATGTGTGGGAACCCCCACAGGTCATCACTTCAACAGAGCTGATGGTAATGTGGAATGCATTACAAATGAGGAAGGATCCAAGATATCGGGATCCAAGCCTTAGACCGCCTAGTAAAGCGATGACCACAACATGGAGTACGGGAACCTCAACTCCCTCCAGATAGAGAGACGCGCACGGAGCACATTGCGATACCGTCTCAGGCCTGCTTCTGCAAGGTTCTCTTAAAACTTATATTTTAAACAACTTTAACACTTTATCGGATTTACCATTCTATATCCTACTATCTATTTCATATTACTATTATTAAAATGTGTTAGAAACAAGGTCTTACAGCACAAGTATATAAAAACCAAAACACATATTAATTTTACAAAAATAGTTTTGGAACTATAAACTTGTAAGGCGAAGTATTTATGATATGATGAAGTTTAGTGTCTTTCTGCAAAAAGTCAATAAAGTTTGAGATTTTCGATATTGAGTAACTATCTACATGCAATTTCATTCGGAACCCTCTGGGCGCGAGCCAGACCAGTTTTTCATAACTAATTCATCAATTGCAAGATTCTTAATGTAAAGCTTACTGTACCTACCTAATCACTTTTAAAAACATTTGAACTGACTTTAAAAACAATTAATTGAAAACTCAACCGTCAATATTCTTAGGGATCGAAGCATCTAAGGCGGTAAATTGGCGCACCACTGAACCAGTGCCTGTCGGTGAGCGTTCCGCCGCATTTCGAGCTCGTCCCGGTCTTTCCCGCTCTCACCCCGACGGATTGCGCGATTCTGGTCGTAGACCCTTGCGTCCATAGGACAAGGCGAGTGGGGCATAAGGCATACCGTAAGTCTTGGATAGAAGACAAAACTGAGACTATAGTTCGGAGTCAGAGACCGGTAATCTATATTGCTGTTCATTGACTGAAAAGGTCACTAAAATATATAGAAATATTCCTAGTTAATGAAGTAGACCGGTAAAAATTATGCTCTTATTGAAACTTAATTTTATAGATTTAACTTTTTAAAACACAACTTCTGCTTTTAACTAAAATATAAAAGTATAAAGTAAAACTATTATGTTAGCGATGTTATGGAATAATCAAGAATTATCTTAAAACGAACATTTTTTCAAGTGTTCTGCCTGAGTTTAGTATGTTATAATCAACTGACGACTATTGTTTTACAAATAACAAAGCAAGGGAACTAGTTGCAATAGACATTATACTTCCAATACTCCGTCTACGGACAGAGGCTCTGATGACAAAAAAACAATACAAGAAATTGTGTGAGATTAAACGATAACGTAATAATAATCAACCTCTAATAAATAACAAAACCCGCACGCACATTATCGTCATTTCAGTATCAATCTGTTGATAAGATCAACAATTTTACTCGTATTTCAGTCGCGTCAGATACATTTATAACAATAGTCGATCAGCGTTCGCGTCTAATGGTGTGCGTGCAGTTGATTATTTGCTAGTAGCGTAACACACTTCAATGGCGGACGCAGTGAAGGAGAAAGTGTCTGTAAGTGATTTGTAAATTAATATGATTTTTTTAAGTTTCAAATTTGTGTAATATTTACCCAACCCAATAGGGTCCAACATAGCTACCGGTAGCCGAGGGGATTTCCGCACAAAAAGAAAAGGGTATTGGCACGAAAATATTTTAAATTTTATCCTGAAATATATATTTTTTATTCAAGACTTAACATTGTAGGTTTTGAGGTAATCCAGCAAGTAAGAACTCTTTACCAAAAACTTACAAAGACAGAGATTTTAATTAATTTAAAGTTTTTCTTATTTGTAGCAACATAGGGGTTAATTAACCGAGGTTTATTACTTGGTTTTACTATAAAACTCTGTCTAACTTAAACCTTATTAAACCTAACATTTATTTAAAAATGTAAACCTATCTTGAAAAAAATTTGCAATCATAATAAAAAAGGGCACAAATCAAGTACAATATTGATATTAGAAGTAAAATTATAATTTTTATATGACTGCACGGATGACGTAATGGTATCTCGCCGCTTCCTAGTGTACTGAGTGTTACCGGTTCGATCCCCACATGGAACAACACGTTGTGTGATCCACGAATTGTTCCACGAGTTCCAAGTCTGGGTGTTCTTTGTGTCCGTTTCAATGAATGTTTGTAAAGTCCCCCGCGACACAAGATATTATGTTCATAGTGCGGGAGTTGTCTTTCAAAAGAAAAGAAAAGATGATTAAATGAAGAAGAGATGATTTAATGAAAGCCACATCTATTCATTTGTGACCTTTGGACGTACTGAAAATATGGCTCAGTTTAGCCCTTTGAGCTTAAGGTACTTATGTTGTTTGTAAAATTATACAAAAAATATTGTCGGATAGAACTTATTTTTCTGATATTCCAAAAAAAAGATTTATATAACTTTAAAAAAAAGAGTTAGTTGTGTCCTTTTTCATTACGACGACAGAATTAGAACTCTTTTATTATTTCTTTGTTTTCGTTATTTTTAAAAGTATATAAACATCTAATAAAAATAAACGCCAAGACAAATAAATGTTGTAAAGATACGACAAATTCCGAGAATACTTTGTTTCATTTCATTTTACTACGTTTTAAGTACAATAACAAACCAAGAATAAAAAACTTGGAATTGGCCAAAAATATTACTTTGTGTGACAAATATAGGGGAGCTCTTTTTGTTTATTGCAGTTTCGAATTTTTTACATAACCACACACATAAAGACCATATAGTAATCTAGTAATAATAGGTTGGCTTTAAGAGAGTTCGATACGGTCCATGAACTAGTGACAATAGAATATCATGCCACAGCTATGACGTATTATTATGACAGAGTTTTATGGGTAAACCATAAAACTCAACTCTACCCACACGCAGGTCATATTATACTATATGACCTGTATTTTTATGATGATCAATATGTAGAGAATCTAGACGTTTTTATCAAGAGGTAATTGATCCATTTTGACTCCATTTCGACGTTGTCCCATAACTACAGCAAAGTGTGGCATGGTATAGCTAGTAAGTTATAAAAAACTTAAAAAGTGCGAGGATGGTTAGTTCCCAAAAAAATTAACCCTCGGTCTCGAAATAGAGGGTAACGAGCAAACAGGTCACCTGCTATGAAGTGATGTCTGTAACTCTCCTGAGTTACAGGCATCAATTGGCGGCATAAGGGCAGTACCAACCAGATAAAATACGGAGCTTGATAGATGTCACTAATGATTTGAAAGTCTTTATTCGTCTAAAGTGTATTGTAAGTTGCAACGATGAGAAATGAGAAAGAAAACTGACGTAAAAAATAGATAAAAACTATCTTTGAAGCATGTTGTATATCGTGTCAAAATTTGAGCTGAATGAGCACACAAGCCAACTCAACATATATACATATATATACCTGTCTATACAATAATCAAATGCAAGTTTTAGGCTTAAGCCATAGTTTTATAATCTAACATATAATGTACGAGTATGTAATACTCGTACATTATATTCACCTTAGAAATATTGGCACGTCCTGGTTTAAAAGTTCTATCACCTGCTAAATGAGTTTTGTTTTTGGAACGTATCATTGACATTCAAGAAAAATAAAATACATTTTCAGCGACAATCTCAATGCGTCTGTTTGCAAAGTTGTGTGTTTCTCAGGAAGCCTTACAGAAAGCAAGCTTCAAGAGAAGCGTAGCCTCCCTGGTTCAGCCTCCCCATACGTTAGGTGTACGAGAACATGACCAGCTGAGGAACTTTGAACGAAAATCGTAATTTAATATATTACCCTTACGTGTAAAAATCTGAAATTGAAATAAAGAAAGAGAGCTTCCCTATATTTGTTACACAAAGTAATATTTTCGGCCAATTTCAAGTTTTTATACTTGTTTTGTGATCCTGCTAAAAGTGTAGTAAAATGAAATGACTCAACAGTATTTTTGCATTTGGCGTATCTTTATAACATTTAATCGTATATCGTAGGATGTCCTGATCCTGTTTTTATTAAAACACATAGAATGTAACATCTAATTTAATAATAAAACTATAATAATCCTAGTTTTCTGCGTCCTATTTACTGACTACGTATTTGCAGGATGATGTAAAAACGATCAAACTCACTTTCACCTTAGTTGGGAACATGGGATAATAAAACAACCGATAAGGCTATCTATAGCTTATTACGATTGAATTTATTTATTATTATTATTTATTTTCCACAATCGGAGATTCTAATAACCCTCGTTTGGACGTCCGACATAAACTGTTTGTGAATCCATCTTATTGAAGTAGATACATACTTATGCATGACAAATGGAATTAACACACAAGCGATTGCCAACCACAAATCAATGGATAAAGTAAAATTTAAATAATTTAACACATATCAGTAGAAATAATATCAGATAAAATTAAGCTTCTTGTAATCTTTTGTCGTGTAATTATTGGACGATATTTCATCACATTTGTTATGTTTTCGATGCATCCCTGTGAACGTGAAGGATAATAATCTAGTATTAAGATAATTAACTGAAATAAAGCAGTATTGATATTATTTCATTTAAAATACTTGTTTCCGACGATATCGTGATAGTGTGAAACTATGCTAAACGAATATGCTTTACTCACGGCTTATCTAAAACTATTCCATCTTTAACTTTCGTCCACACTTCACAGTCTTCTATTTTTTTATATTTGTGAACTCTATCTCGTATTTATTATTTATGCAGAGATTGTGCCAGTTCTTTATATTATACTATTCTCTTCTAAGAAAAAAAAACTTGAAACAAACCCTATACCCACCCGCCTGGTCAGCGTGGTATAGTAGGCCAAAACCTCCTTTCTAAGGAGAGACCTATGTCTAGCAGTGGACTATTAAAGGGTGTTGATGATGATGATGATGATGATGATTCTCTTTTATTCTTACATATCCCAAGGTTTTCTCTACTATCATTAAACCTTGTAGCCGAGTCCGATGAATTTTTGTACCTCTGACCCACAACAAACCCACCACATATAATTATTATATGTACTCAGCCCTTGTGTCATAAATTATAATAACCGTTCTATGACTGCACGGTTGGCGTAGTGGCTTAAGCGGTCGCCACGCTGCGTCCTACTATGCTGAGTGTTGTGGGTTCGATTTTCACATGGGACGACACTTTATGTGATCCACAAATTGTCGTTCTGAGTCTGGATTCTTTGTGTCCGTTTCGGGTATGTTTGTAAAGTCCCCGACGACACAGAATATATTCCAAGAGCGGGAGTTGCCTTTATTAAAAAAAAAATTGCACGATCGCTGTGCCAAGTCAGATTAAAGTATTACAACTGATAAAGTAACTAAGTATAAATTAATTTGCTTAATACTTGTACATTATAGTTTAGATAATTATCGATCACATATCGTTATCCGTTTTAATATGATTATGCTTATCTCTGCACTGGCCCTAATTTTAAATTTTTATATTACAAGGAGACTGGAAAATCTGTATACGTAATGTTGTACTTATCAGTAACCTTTAAATATTTTACATCGAACAGTCATTTATCAGAGGTTGTGTGTATCACAAATTAATCATAGTGGATTAAGAATGGAAATAGTTTGGATTGATAATTTTTGAGGATACCTATATTTATTTCCGAAGTGTTTTTCATATTTGTAGTAACAAAACGTTGTGCATTATAAAACCCTGGATGGACCTAGGGTTTTACAATGCACTAGCAATGTTTTCAGGAATTCCATAACCAATTTCATAACAAAAAACATCAAATATGCATAAAATCCAACCTTCCTTACGTCTTAGATTCATATTTCTTTATATTCTTCTTCAATTATCTTTTTTTGATGTTAGTGAAAAATATCACTTAGTAGGAAAGCTAGGACTGGATTTTCTCTAAAACCTAAAAATGCTTTATAAACTAATTTAACATAATATCATCCACAGTCCCTATAGATCCGCAATTGTTTTTGTTTTCTGGTGAAAAAGTATCAGTATATCAAATCAACTTCTTTCTTCAAATATATTCAAGTTCTATTCGCAAAAAATTACGTATTATTTTAAACAGAAATTTGCTTAAACGAGTTTGACAATGCCTTAGATATTAATTACAAATCTGCTATTGTACATTTAAATTGCACATCTAGTGTTAAGACAATGCACAAATAAGTACAGTCACCAACATGGATCATAACCGGTTAACAAAAGTTTTCAATCCAAAACATAAATAAGGATTAATGCAATTAAACAGATTAAATCAGCAAACATTTGAAAGAGTAAACATCACACGCTTATTGAACATTCTATATTTTATGCAAGCACATTAATTCTTGCTACCAATGTGATTTGATATTATGGTATTTGTGGCAACTAATATAGAGACTAATTTAGTATGCATTGTGATATAAAAGTAAATATCCAACTATAAACCTGTTCCACTAGTTACGAACATAAATTACACAAACATATAAGTCCCGTATGTTCTTAATTTAAACAAAAGTATTCTGAAGCACAAAAGTCATAACAATCAAAGTTCAGGGTTCGAACTAAGCCATGACGACTACCACAACAACTGGTTGCCAGTCATTCACTTAAGGTGTGGTTCTAATGGGGACGTCAAATTTTATTGAAATAAATATTTTCCCTTGCATTAGCATATGTTCAATGCCTTGTGACTACTTAAAGAATTTATGCTGTAAACTATTTTTCTTCTTTTAATTTTCTCTAAGTACCTTCCGGTTTTTAATAGCCTGTATGTATGTATAAAGCTTGGTTATTGCATCCTGAAGTTAGTAGTTTAAAAATAGAGTAACGAACGAACGAACAAAATTTGGAATATCTTCTTAAAGTTTATAAATAGAAGAAATACAAAAAGCTCACAAAATTTAACAAAAAAGTATAATAGTTTTAAACTAAGATCTAAAGTTACACGCTTCTGGTATAGAAATTAATTTTTATGGTACGTAATTTTTTTTTAATAATTAAAGGAATGATCGAGTTGTTGTCCCAATTATTTTTAACACAGCTGTGAATTATTGCGCTGCTCAGAACTGTACTTTAACTGTGTATAATTTAAAACTAACTAAGGTTCAGAAGCAGGTGCATCGTTTCACGAGAATATTGAAACGTAGTTTTTTTCTGGGTATTTGTGTGAAAGATCTTTGTTTTTAAAAAGTGAAGAAATGTTGTGCCACAGAGTCGTCATTATTAGGTTTATATATTAAGATTTTGACGTATATACTTAGCGCGTTTTTTTTCGTTTCTAACTTCAGCGAAACTTAAGAAATTTGATAAATTTACAAAATAGACTTTGGGCAACACACTGCTGTATAAATAGAACCTAACCAGAACTCCATATAAACAATTGAGTACCCTTTAATGAACGTAGAGTGTGGCTAAAGTTAGCCTTTATATCTCTGTGAATAATACGAACTCTTGCATAATATTATTTGAATAGCAGAAAAGCGTATCGAACGAAAACTGAGGCGACTACATTCAGGCTCTCGTCACAATCCTACGAATTTACATTTAAATGAGAACGATTATTCCCTTGTTTGAAGGGATTAAGTTTCAGAACACTTCCCGATTTTCGCGTCCGCACAAAGTTTGCGTAATTACTTTATTGGTGATTACAAAACTAAGACACCAGTTTTGGAATACATTAACCGAGAGTTTACAAGAAAGGCACTTCGGGTATTATTGGATTACCGTTTGAGCAGGTTGAAAGTTGTTCCGCGTGTAAATGGGTGCCTAAACCTATTGGCTTGAAATCGAATTTGTTTCAAGGTGTGTTCCACGTTCAAACTTTTTGTTCTAAGTTTATTCTCTGTGATAGTCTTTATTGTTTTAATATTTATGAATTATGGAGCTTAAACGAAATTAGTAGATACAACAATCTAATATAAATTGGTCATTTTATGGTTCCGTCTCTCAAAAGAAAACCTGGACCATTATAATATCACTTATAATATTACTTGTTGCTTTTTACTAAGACTTTAGGCACGTGTCACCTGCACCCTAGATTTTCAAGCCCTAAAAATGATTTTTATTATGATGTCACAAATTTTATCAGCATTTGTTTTATTTAGCATCACAATAATGATAAAAATAATTAAATACAAATATGAATAAGTTTAAAGTTAGTAAGGTTCTCCGATTTAATATTTTTGTTCCTAAGAACAATTAATTAAGGTGACTCATTCCTATTTGAAGAACTTTTAGATAAACATTTACCATTATTCGCCCGAGACTCCGAAAAATTATAATTTATATAAAACAAAAAGAGAACATTTGTTTCTATGGCCTAGCTTTATCAATAACTACTATTATTATATGCAAATTAGTTATTTTTGTTATATCCTATCCTCAAGTTTATTATTTATTTTAGTACTGAAAATAATTTCATGCTCCTTTCTTTCAGCTACCAAGCATTAGCAGTAGCGACTCAATTCCTGACAAAGCGAAATGGGACCGACCTCTCGAGTTCATCCTTGCCTGTTTAGGCTATGCTGTTGGTCTTGGCAATGTATGGAGGTTCCCTTATCTTGCTTATAGAAATGGCGGTGGTAAGTTATATTTATTTATTACATCTTTAGAATTAAACTCACAGAAGAGTAGTTGGTACATTACTGACTACCAGTATTCATACCTAAATTGTCCTATGACATTTTTTTTTGTCAATTTAAAAAGTTGTCTTTTGCCGTAATTAACATATTTCTTTATCTGTACCGTACACATCATTCACCACGTCATTCTCAGCTACTTAATTACGGATTAACGTACATTGTTCTTTGTAACGAGTTCTTTATATTTTGATTTATGTATTTTTTCATAAATATATTTGGTGTTAAATGGCTTGAGTTTTCTGTTTATACTTAATAATAATTTTTATTCTTGTTTCAGGTGCCTTCTTGATACCATTTTTCTTGATGCTGTTGTTCATTGGTCTTCCAATCTTCTTTCTCGAACTTTATGTCGGACAGTTCTCTGGCCTCGGCCCAATACAGGCTTTCAGTGCAATATCTCCTTTCTTCAGCGGATTAGGATATTGTACTCTCGTGGTTATCACCATTATATCCATCTACTACATGATTATCGTTGCCTGGGCTGTTTTCTATACAATTGTTTCAATTGCTGGAAATTTGGATTGGGGATCCTGCGAAAATGAGTTCAATACCATAAGTAAGTTACATTTTTCATATCTTTAGCGTAGTATATAACAGATTTTTAATCTAAGAGGGTTTTAGTGGAGGGTGAAAGTTATGGATAGGTATTGAATCGGTAGCACGTCGTACATAATTGCACGTACTTAGATAAGTCACATATATATATATATATTTATATTACTATACATTTTGAGTCTCGTTACACTCCTTGCCTATATCTCAAGTTAAATCCTACCTTAGGTATCCGAGGTCTACACAGTACGGTTTTAAGTTGATTGTGACATTATCTCTTATTATATGTAGTATTAGTGTCTGGCTTACAAAAAATTAAAGTTAGGTATTAATCAAACTACAGAAACCCAAAGTGTATCTTGAAGGGCTCATTTGGAAAAAGGAATTGTTTATTATTAACTGTTGATGTATCAACATCACATTATTAACGATTTTAGTATTTAAATAGAAGATAAAGTTGTAGAAATATTCTCACATGTGTTTAAATTTCATTACGTCTGGTGTCGCACACAATTCCCCTTTATCCATGATGTCATTTGTTCCAGTCATTCGTAGTACTTTAGTGTATAATAAATAAAGATGACATAATTACAATTCTGTTATTTTATAATTTGTAATAATGTAAAAATATGATTCTTAGTTTACAAAAGTAGATATAATATATCTGAGAATTAGGAAAGAAAAATAAAAATGTAAATAAAGCCGTGTGGTGTCGTGGGACACCCGATAGGAACGAAGTTGTTACGATCGAGTAAAACTGATTAGACACTATTTTAATTACAACGCCATCTATGAAAGCGGCTATTACCTACATATTTTTCAGTTGGTTTCCAATTAAAACAATTTATACATTGGTAAAATCTCCTTGAGAAATGATGTCGAATACAATATTTTTTGCTCAACCTAAGAACATAAATTTTAATTTTACTATTCGATGGATGGCGCTGAATGACTGACAAGTGACAATTCAAAATAAAAAGTGTCGTGACCAATTTTCGTAAGAATTTTTTCCGTCTACAACGCGCGATAAGGAACTGCGTTCCAACAATTAATATATCAGAATATCAAAGTCAATATTTCACAATAACATTTATTGATAAATCTAATCATGTCAGTCACGTCACTAAAATGATTAAAAAAAATACCATACTCGTATCTTATATGGTCAGATAGTGAAGTACATGACTAATAACGTGTAAACGTAACGTACATAAACACAATCCAATTAATATTTTCATATTTATATATAAGAACAATAGTTTAATTTAAGACAGTATTGTGAGTTTAAACAGCGGAAATAACTGTCCCAATGAGGGTCTTCGATACTTTTTCTGCCACCAGACGGCGCTTCGTATGCGTCAGGTCCAAACAGCTGTCAGATAGCACAGATTCTTACCGAACGTATAATATTTTAGTAAAATTCTATGAACTTGGAAGTGTTATTGAGTTTATTATAGATTACAGCCAGAGAAAGTTTGCCGAACTGAAGATTGAACTCAAAAAGAGAGGCGCAAAAGTTTTATTTGTACACATAGGCACTGCACAACACTGTGGAATTTTAGAAATCAGTATTCCTTTTGAAACGTTTTTAAAAATGAATAAAGCAAAACAAAAAATTGATCGAAAAATACAAATCGTGTATGTGTTTTGGCAGGTGGTTGGACCTGCACCAGGGACTTCCTTTCTAGGGTATATCTGGTTCCCCGGCTATTAGTACCCGAGACGGCGTGCGGTTTTAGTCGGTTCGTGTTCGACATGCCACCGACAGGTGGTATCCGAGGGGATTTCCGCACGGAAAAAAAAAAGGTGGTTGGACCTGACGCTACAGTGCTGCCATCTCACGTGGAACATTTCAGAAAACCCTCATTGTGATGGTTCTCGTTTCTGTTGTTTCAATAGTTTTAAACTCTTCTATAATTTCTGAACAGAAATGATTTAAAAAAAATAACAAATTTTATTTTGTGTAATATTGTTATTAAAATCAATTTGTCATTTAGATTGTTTCAGTGGTGAATACGACCGATTATGCAGGGAAAATAATACCGGTGATTCTACTGACCTAACTTACTACCAGCAGCATTGTGTCAGCATCGGGACTATTTGCATTGAAACTGGCTTTCAACCTTACGATGGCAAAAACTGTTTGAATGGAAGTGAAGTTATACCTTGGTTCAAAAATGTTACGAGAATTTTAGCAGCAGAAGAATATTTCAAGTAAGTTTTCTTTTATTCTATCTGAATCTAAAAGTATCTTTAGATAGACCTGGTGTCATAGAAATATGTAGTTAAAAGTAAGAGGTGTAATATTAACCCCGAAAATAACGTATCCCTTTCTTCGCATTATCTTTTCCTTCTTATCTAGATAGATAAGAAGGAAAAGGGTTAAAATTAAAAGGGAAAGATTTCCCTTTTAATTTAAACCCAATTTTTTCCATAACGTGCAGACGGTACAGCGGCTATAACATAAGTGAGATTAAAATATAATCAGCAAAACGTAGAATTTTAATATACTTCTACCTACCTCTTCGGGGATACTGGGATGGGTATGTTGTTTACAATAATCTTGAATGACTTTAGAGTCACCGCGATGATCATCAATAGCCTATAACAGTCCATTGCTGGCCATAGGCCTCTCCTTAGAAAGGTCGACTATACCACGCAGGGCAGACCGTTTGGCAAAGGGTTGGTGTAAATCTCTATGCAATACTGTTATTCTGCATAGTCACCTCTTACGACACCAACGGGATGAATAGAGGTGGTGACATTGCATATTCTTAATCACCACACGGACTACTGCGATGATACAGAAATACAATTAATCGATAACAATTTCTTGCGCAACGTACTCTATTTATTGGTAAATCCATGACAGTATGTAGCAATAGACATGGTAACTGGTAAAACCAAGATGACCATTCGGACAGTACATACGTAATTTTTCTTTTATCCAAATAATGGAAAATAGTGCGACGGCGTGATGTCGATATCGTTATCAATTATGATTATTAAAACTATATTTTTTGAGTTAGATTAAAAAAACGACAAGTGGAAGTCCCAAAATAATCTTTAAAAATGATTTCTCATATTATGTATAAAAACGTATCGTATTATGTATAAAAACGATTGATAAGATATGTTAGAGAGATAAAAAAATAACCACTGGGCTTGTCAGTATTAAACTTTTGTAGGCATGTTTAGGCATTTACACAACTTCTTCACTACAACGTATTTTTGTGTTAAGAGTGAGTTGGAATTTAAAATAATCCCTGGTGCTGGTCACAGTCTGATCGACTTGTGACGATACCCAATGGAACCTCGTGAAAACACCTGGCAATTCACAGGTATATACATACTTGGAGAATTCTTAGTTATCCAGATTCCACCTAACCAAATTTTACTGTTACGTGAACGCGCAACAATTTAAAAGTAATGTCATTGTTATTTTTTTCTATATTTGCGAAGATATGATGTAAAGTAGAATTTACCTATTTTTAGTTTAGATTAGACCTCGTTTGACACAAAAGGAAAACAATGTACTGTAGATATTTTTTGTAATTTATTTCTCTGTGATATTGAAAGCGTGTGTCATAAAATAAATCGTCGATAAGCTAGTAACCATAAAGTATTGGATTAAATACACGTGATGAATTTATTTCACTGCTTAAATGCTAAATTTTATATCTAAATACTCGTCACAATGCAATAATATTAATTTATTTTTCATTACTCATCACACAGTTTTGTGTTACAATACGTTCTTCATGATTTGAGTCTTATTTCAAGCAACTAATGCCTGTGTTAGGAGACTTTAACTTAAAATAAGTTTATAATTTCTGCAATAACATTATCCTACCAAAAGTAGGATGTATGGCAACGCTTAGCAAAATCGTTCATTATTTTATAACTTTAAAAGTGACACATAACTCGGAGTCAAAGAAAGGCGATTTACCCGCATTAAAGTTATGTCCAACAGGCTGTAGCCGTAGCATCCGATATCTGCTATGTTTTAAAATACAATAAAACCTTTCTTCTTTTTCGAGAAAGCAGTGAGTCAAGACTGAGTCACGTTCTTTTACGCCGTTAGACGATTAACGCTGCACAATGTTTTATCCATGCAGTCTCATTAAAAAAATAAATTATTATTTAAAATTTTATTACTTCTCTGTTCAAAAAGTTATTAGCCTGGTGAACAATAATTATTTCTACACAGTAATCAAGTGCAATAATCTAAGTCATAAAAGTAAGAGATGAGTCTAAATTACGTACAGTCGGGGTACCAGGGCTTTCTTTCTAGGGTACACCTGGTTCCTGTTCGTAATATGTCTTACACTGGTTAACCGTATACCAAATTCATTCGATTTGATCATTTTAAGGTATCGCAGGTTTCATTAAAATCGCAGTTTATCGTTTTGCAAACTGATTTTCTAATGTTTTTAGTTATTCAGTTATGATAACCATATAGTTTGTAAAAGTATCGAAGACCTTACTGCTTAATCAACTTTTCTAACCATTTAAATCCAATCTCATTAACAATTCAAATGATCTCAGTATTTAACAATGACAAAATTTATGGAATTATCACAGTGACTTTACGCTATTAAATCTGACATAAAAATACACGTGTATGTTTTTTACCCAGTTCATAAAAAGAGGATGTTTTCAATTCGTGTGTATTTATTTCATGCTTGTTACTGATTCGGGAAATTTTGTTCGTTTTTTGGCATACGTCTGGTCCTAATCAAATAAGAAGAAGAACAAAAACATCCATCAGGTCATGAATTCAATGAATGAAGTTTATTACAATTCACCATAATGTGGGCACATTGAAGAGAATTATTAGACAATAAAAAGATCTTTTCAATGTTGTAATAGCACAGATGGTGAGCTGAATATCTGCCACAGTTCATGCCATCAGTAATCATCATCAAGCTTTCAATATTCGACTGCTGGACATTGGCCTCTCCTTAGAAAGGCGGTGTAGGCCTACTACCACGCTGGCCAAACGGTATAGGGTTTGTGTGAAGTTTTCCTTCTCTTTGCAGTGCTGTTGTCCTGCATAGTCTGCTCCTTTAGAAGGCTCTTACGACACGCACGGGATGAATAGGGGTGGCGACACTCCGTATTCTTAATCTCTCACCACACAGGCGTACGACACCCACGGGACGAATAGGGTAAATAATAAATTTAAAAGCGTAATCTAATTGGATATTATTCCTCAGTGAACGTGTGCTGGGTCGAGGTGACGCCACCTGGGAGAACTGGGGCACGATACAATGGCATATGGTTGGATGTCTGGCACTCTGTTGGTTCGTAGCCTTCTTGGTTGTTATTAAGGTAAATATATATGAATGTTTGCTTACCAAAACCGATTGCTTAATAATGTACAACATGTTACATTTATATTTTTAATCGAAAAATCTTTTATTTACAATGTGATTTCTTCTAATTTAAATAAACACAAACAAACTTGCGATAAGACAGCCCAAAATATACCGTTACATTTTCATACATTCATTTGATGGCACGCCGTTAAGCGGTCACCTCGCCGCTTTCTGCTGCGCTTAATGTTGTGGGTTCGTTCCCCATATGGAACAACACTTTGTTTGATCCACAAATTGTTGTTCTGAGTTTGGGTGCTCTTTGTGCCCGTTCGATGAATGTTTGAGAGTCCCCCACGATACACGATATATTCCTAGCGCTATGTATTTCCAAAATATAAGTTCATGTATAAAAGATTAGTTGATTCATCTATTGTTTATGCTGCAGGCGGCAAACGAACAGGGCCTCAATTCTGTTATTTTATGTTCACGACAAGCCACGTGTGTGGAATGGCGATGAAATGGCAGTGGCTCATCAGTGGTGATATCGAAAAAAATGCCATATTTGGAAAAATAAATAAATCCTTATATATAATTTGAAAATATATTACGTTTTTTTGAGGAAATGATTTATTTATTTTTCCAAGTATGGCAATATTTTTGATATCACCACTGATGAGCCACTGCCATTCCATGGCCACTGTAAAGACACTGAGTTAGTATAGACTACCGATATTTATACCGATGCCAATGGCCACTCGATGGCATCTCAATAGCGTGTCAGTGGTATGACAGTGGCTTGGCGTGAACATAAAATAGCAGAATTGAGGCCCTGAAGCGTCACCAGAGGGCCTAGTGTAAGTTTCTTTCACTTTTACTCGTTCGTCACGGTGATCGCATTCGGCGTTCCCTCTGATAGTACAGCTCCCGTGGCCCTCTGACAGTAAATGCACTACTGTGCCCTTTTCGAGTCACTTTTTGCCTCGCACAACCAATCTGTGGAAAAGGTTAGCGTCTGCGGTATTTCTGGACCTACACGATCTTCAAACCTTCAAGAAAAGAGCGTACTCATTCTGTACTCACTCTGACTTGCAGACGTTCATGGGCGGCGATGATCAATTTCCATCAGGTGACCCATATGCTCGTCTGCCCCCTCTAACATAAAAAAATTGACAACAACAAGAAACAGAATTGCAATGTCTTCCACCTTCCCCCCTCACAATTACACTTACTCGAAGAAAATTATCGAAAGAATTGCTTAACTGAAACTCACCAACCATTTTCTTTCACAGGGAGTCCAGTCTGCAGGCAAAGTGGTGTACTTTACGGCTTTGTTCCCTTACGTCATGTTAACAGCTCTACTTATTCGAGGTGTAACTCTAGAAGGTGCCGTAGACGGAATCATTTTTTATTTATCACCTAATTGGGAGACTTTGCTGGAAGCTCGAGTGTGGGGTGACGCTGCTTCGCAGGTATGATTTTGAATTTATTTAATTATTGCATTTAATTTTCATCTTTTTAAATATGATCTGATATATTTTCACCTCGGAACTTTATATATGCATATTTTTAAACTACATACTTTTTAATTAATTTTTTAAAAGATTACTTTGATACGAGTTACTTAAAATCGTTCACTTAACATGTTCCCTTTTGCTGACCATAATATTCATATATATATATTTAAAACTGTCCACAGATATTATTTAAGTTAGCCAAAATGTTTAAAAGATCAAACTATTTTGATTCAATCTTATAAATTTCAGCAAAATATTTTAACGGAAAAAGTTATCAGCTTTGAAAGCACTCACTTCAAATGACTTAATAAAAGTTATTTGCGATGCGATTAAAATTTTAAGACTTTGGCAACTAACATCAATCCGTAGAAGAAATCGGTCCATCGGAAACAATTTAGTCAGTAATGGCAGCCATTATTCCATAAATAAGTAAATACTGCGCCTAATTATCTGGCAACTTGGGTTACGGGCAATTTACATTTTTCTAGGCAACCAACTTTCGAAATTGTTAATTAAAAAGTTTCTAGACTTTTAGAATTTTTTGGAGTGGCTTCAGATTATACTTTTTTATCGGTGGAAAAATCACAAAGGGATTGCGATACCGGGAACTTACAAAAAGTATTCTTCTTTGGCAAAGTCTTTTTTGGCAAAGATACTTTGCTTAGGAGTATTATGAATAAGAGTAAAGCGCGTCTTATCTCGAAAAGTGTGTAAAACAAGTGCGCGCCCTCCGTATATTTATAAACTGACTATACTGCGGTATAGGATAAAGGCCTGAACGCACCAAAATGCGATCGTACTGCAATATTTAGTAATAGGCAGGGGGAAGCCTCCGGCTATCTAACCTGGTTAGGTGCAGCATCGATCCGGGAGGGCGGAGACCTAAAATCACATGTTCCGGGTCCTGAGTAGGACGATAAAGCCCGACCGTCGGGGTGGTTATTAGTGGCCAGAGATCCGAAGGAATTAACCACCTGGCACCAAATAAAGTCAGAATATCAGTAGCCAGTACCAGATGGTACTTCCCTCTCTACAGTAATCCAGTTATGGCTTGTCTCGTTAGGAAAACTGTTAAGAATGTTTATATGGCAAAATCGTTAAGACTATTAAAAGTATCAGTTTGTTAGGAAAACACACTGACCTCTTTGCAGTGGTAATTCTTTTGACTGCACGGATGGCGTAGTGGTTTAAGCGGTCGCCACGCCGCTTCCTACTACGCCGAGTGTTGTGGGTTCAAACCCCACATGGGACGACACTTTGTGTGATCCACAAATTGTTGTTCCAAGTCTGGGTGTTATTTGTGTCCGTTTCATGTATGTTTGTAAAGTCCCCCGCGACACAGGATATTTTCCTAATGCGGGAGTTGTCTTTTTAAAAAGAAAAAAAAAAAAAAAGAATTGGTAACCTGTGTGTGAGTGAGTAGCTAAACCGAACGTTTCGTTTCGTGGGTGGTAATTTTACTTTCAATTACCAGAATTCAAAAAAATACTCTTATGAAAATATCAGACTTTACCGTTGTCATAATTCACTGAAAGTAATAAGATTTTGATGGTTGTACGGTTTCTATAAGGTAAAAAAGTCCTTGTTTTAACTATTCTTAGCATTAGCTGAAAGTAGATTGAAAATATCCTAAAATTAGCTCAGAGTTGGCCTAAAATCATAGCATAAACTTAACAAAGAAACATCAAATACAGGGTATTTTTAGTTTCGAACTTTAGTTTAGAACAATTTACTGTTTAATTTAATTTAAAATTGCTGTTTGTTTAAGCTGAATACTTGGTAAACAGCTTAAACAAACAGCAGTTTTCACTTTTCAAAAATCTATTCTATTACCTAAAACTAACTTTTCAAAAATAAACGAGTAGGCTTTGATGTACTGGTATAGATTCACTATATTAGTTTTTGATATTATTTCAGTACCTCGTTGTTCTTAAATTTTCTTAAAATAGTTTGAGTGAGCTAATCCAAAGTTCTATCGTAAATTTTCTTATAGCCGCTTGTAAACCTTGCTCAACAGGGAGTCATCGCCGTCGTCGAGTTGGTTTAGGCGTGAATGCGCTTTTACATTTATAACATAAGTATGGATGCAAAACTATGGATGATGCAATATTGAATAAATTTTTAAGGACGTTTTTTTTTAAATAGAAAATAAGTCTTGATTGATTCTAATGATCACAGCATTTTACATAGGAATAAATGAATTTCTTCCTTCCTGACTTACTTGGTTCTATTTTTGTTGTTGTTTTGTGTCTTGTGTCTTGTAGTCATTTATTATCGTTCTGATTATCAGATCTTCTACTCCTTTGGTGTGGCAGCCGGTGCGTGCGTGACCCTGGCATCATACAACAAATTCACTAACAACTGTCAGTTTGATGCAGTTTTGGTCAGTTTCACCAACTTTTTCACGTCTATATATGCAGGGTTTGCTATATTCTCTGTACTGGGTTTCCAAGCTAATCTGATGGGAGTCACTGTAGATGGTAAGTATCCTCAATTATTATTTTTGTCATTACCATCATCATCATCTTTTAATTGTCTCGTTTTGACTTTACTACAGCAATACATACCTAAGATAATTAAAAACGAACTATAAAAATTAAAACGAACTGTAGAAATCCAAAAAATACTTCAAAATGTATTGTTAATCAAATTAGCGAATTAAAAAATAACATTAAAATTATAAAAATTTAAAATAATAAAAAAACCTTAGATATAAAAATAATAAGTCAACACGTTAACTTTGATGACGAATGAAACTGAACTATACATTCGTGTAGTTCAGTTTAGTCATCAAAATTAAGTAAAAAACAAAAAGCTTTTATGCATGTCTACGATTAGCTCAAGTAGAATAATCCGAGCGCTGAAATGCTATAGGGGTACAAACACACGCGGCCGAGAGCACACAGTACTCAGCACAGCCCACTTGAATATGCAACTGTACTGTACAATGCTATTGGATTAATCTATTATTGCGTTGTTGTTTACAGAATGCTAAAAGTGCATTGTAGTTAAAATAATAGTGATCAGCGACAGTTGATTGTATTCAATCATTTGTTTAATTACAAGCAAACTAATTACAACTTATTGTCATTCTATAGATTTTTCGTATTTGTTGCTTCTGCGAAGGTGCTATCGTGTTCAAAAGATAGTACGTTTTGCCAGCGTGTATGTCGGCTATCGCGGTATAAAGTAGTACCTATGTTATTTACTGATAATGTAGCTTTCCATTAATGAAAGAATTATTAAATTTGTTTACTTGGTTTATTGATTTAAGCGTGAAAGCTTAATAAACAAACTCACTTTCTCACTTAAATTTTAAGTATGAATTTTCATTCGACTGTAGACAAAGCAAAAAAAGAACGTTATAAGAAACGTGTGTACTATATATGTACATACGTTAATATTTAAAAATGAGTATATATAGATATATTTACACTATATTCTGTATTTAAATTCTTAAAGGTTTTTTTTTATTTATAGCGTATGAGTTTCTAAATGTTATTCTATAGAATTAAAGTTTGATAAAATATTTCTTGTACGCCTTTCGTCTTATCTAATATAAAAAGGTCTCATATTTGTGCAGTGGGCCGCCTAAGGTATACGTAGTAAGCAGCGTCTAGGTATTGAGGTTATTTTATCGTAGGTTTCAAAGCTTTATTGATTGATAAATAAATAACTCTTGATGTGGTAAGGTTGTTGAAAATTATTATAGAACAATTAATTATTTATAATTATCGATACCCCAATTTTGTGATCAAATTAAAATGCCATTAATCAATGTACTGAACAATATTTGATATTATAAAGAGATTATACAGAATAACAAAGTCCTTAATAACAAACAGAAACAGAGAAAATATTAACTTGCAGAAATAAATATGATTTCATCATTTTATTTCATTTGTAAATAAATTATATTTTTAAAGAATTATATCCAAATTTTGTACCTCTTTTTAGCAACGTCACAAGTTGAAATTTTGATGCTTAGTATGTGGTTGTATAAATAACTAAAAAAAACTTGGTTTCAAAATAATTTTTCACACTTTAAGTTCCATGAAGGATCATCAAATGGGAATGAACTTAATAGAAGACTAGCTTTGTCCCGAGTCTCCGCCCGCGTGAATGTCGGTTATCACGGTAAAAGTATCTTATGCCTTTGGTCAAGAATCAAAGTATCTTTATACCAAATTTCTTCTAAACCGATTCAACGGTTTAAGCGTTAAGAAGTAACACACAGACAGACACACTTCACCGCACTTCACTTCAACCGCTATCCACACTAATCCATATACAAGTATGGATTAGTATGGATAGCGGTTAAATAGTAATAGGTGCTATAATATTGTTTTTTTTTGCTTATGAACCTTTAATATTACTAGAGTTCTATCACAATACGGTTGGAACTAGTAAGTTTAGAGTCTATTTTTGCTTGGTAAAAGGCATACCAATAGAAAAGTTTAATTACAAACAAAGTAAAACTTCATCGGTACTTTCGCTAGATCTCTTTTCATGTAACTAGGTATATTTCGAGATAGATTATCTTCAGTTATTTGATTGAAAGATATCATTTTAAAATCAACAGATTTTCCAATGCAGGTGATTTAAATTACAATCTTATACACACATGATAAAGTAGCTAAGAACTTTAAAATAATGACGTATTAGGGCAAAACCCGTTTTGACGAATATTACGTTGCTAAGGTAATTGTAAATTTAAAGTTAGGTAGGTAAAAGTTATTCTAAATGTTAAAACTCGCTGGAACAATACATGTTGGGTGATCAATCATGCTTATATCTATTGATTACTTGTGTATAATGATGATATCTGTTTATTGCTAAATTACATCGACAGATAAGTGTTATCGACGATAAATTATTACATACAATATTGACAGTACACTCGAGTTTAACGAATTATTAACATACATCAAAAGTCTATTTCCACTCCAAAAACACGATAACCCAAGCTTTCTAGATTAAGATTTAATGAGAATTGATTAGTCTAGTCTGTAAGGTATTAGCCTGAAAAGCACTGATAAGATTTACCTTAATAAACTGCCATTAACTATAATCGCCTTTTATACAAAGTTATCTAAAGCGTTAGTAAATCAACGAATTACAGTATTATTTTAATTCTTTGATACGCAACTGGTCTTAATAACACGTACCTTAGCAACGGATTAAATGAGCTGATTAATTAATAGTAATTGAAATGAATAATGAGTTATATTGTCTTCAATAAGTTTGAATAGCCTTGTTAATGGGGAACTAACGTTAATTAATCATATGGCTAAAATCAATTAAGAATGTTGTGCCATTACCAACATAAATACAATAATTAGCAATGAGAAAATTATATCTATTACCGTATATAGATAAATTATTGATCATATAATTCAAAAAATTCGAATTGTGTTTCGCACTTTACAAATTTAGTTGATTTCTCAGTAAGTTATGACGAAAAGAATGCACAACATTGATAAATATTTACTAGATGAAATTACAAAAACAAGTTTAAAGTATAAGAAAAAACTATACACTGTATGTTTAGTATAGATAGAATATGATGAATTAAATTGTGTACACAATGTATTACAGAATGCAATTTAAACAAAATTTATCAGAAAGATTTTAAAAAGAACTAAACTATGTTTTAAGAATTACCTATAATTTGATGAACATCATGATGTAACAATTTCATTTAATAAATGAATAATTCTTTTGATAACATTTGAATTCATACATTACCACTCAAAAGATTATTTTACTTATCTTTTCATTCATAAATTATGCAAAATTATTCTGTAAGCCAACAAGTTGAATATAAAAAAAAACTGTGCTAAATTTGTTCGCTTAAAAACAAACTTAATTAAGAAATAAACTGAAAAAATTAATAAAAACGTCACTTTCACATTTAAGATGTATCTAACTACACCTCTCAATTTGAAAACCTTCTTCCTTCCTGCACAGTTGGGTAGAAACAAAGAGAGAGAATACAGAGAATACAGAGATTAATTCTCTGTTATAGGAGTATTTTAACGATACAATATGATGTTTAAGATAACTATCTTTTATTTTTAGATGTTGCTGCAGAAGACGTAGGCCTTGCCTTTGTTGCATACCCGGAAGCGCTTCTTCAGATGCCCCTCCCACAACTCTGGTGTATTTTGTTCTTCTTCATGCTTTTTATCCTCGGTCTTGGAAGTCAATTTGCTGGTATTGAAGCCATGAATACTGCTATTACTGACAGGTGGCCAACTTTAAGGAAAAGCTATTGGAAGGTAATTTCTATACAAGTATTTAAGATTATTTTTTCGCACCTCCATTCTAAAAACGATTCTCTCACACGGATTATTTTTCCTTAGGAGAGCCATGCTACTGCTCCTATCTATCGGTTCGATTAAAGTAAAGATTCTATTATTTGACCACGACACATATACAGGTTGCAAGGGACATCGTAACGAACACTGAAATAGTGTATTCAGACCATGATTCTAAGTCGAAAATCATTGGAAAATACCATATGTAGTATGTACATATGATACTAAAATAAAACATAAATATCGTATGCTATTCAATATCATACTATTTTCATCGTAGCCTTTTAATAACTTATTGTCTGTAATAAGTTATTAAATAATTACTCTCATTCACTGATAGTGAAAACATTGTGGATTTATAATATACATGTTCCTGTAAAAACCCGAACTACGGTAAATCCTAAGATTACCGGTAAAACCTAACATTTACCAACAGGAATTGGTAAATGTAAGTATTATTAAAAAGGGATACATTTTTTGGTACCTATACCATTACAACTTACCAGTTGTAAATGCTGGTCTTACCAAAGTCGATTGGTAAATGTTGGTTTTGGCAAGAAAACAATAAGTACTTTAAAGTTAAATTTGGGTTAGGTTAAGTTAGAACAGTGACCATTAAAGTGCGATTGCGAACAAGCAAAGCTCGCGGGCCGCCGATTAGCCAGATCCCCTCTATTGTCGTGAAAACAGATCTGTTTATAGTCATTTACCTTGTGTTGCAAGTAAATCTTAAGATTTACCAAGTGAATGATGGTAAATGCTCGAAATTCGAACTTTTACCATAACTCGTTTTTAAATCTTAGGTTTTACCGGTAAATCTTAGCATTTACCGTACATTTTTCGGTCTTTTACAGCAACATATACATTAATATTGTTCCTGTTGTAATAACGTTATGAAACACGTATTGAAATATATTTCTAATTAAGCACTGAATAAATGAACACTATAATAGACGCACATATGATGGAGTGGAATTATGTGAAGACCAGCCTTAAATACAAACATCTCACGTCTATTTATGAGATCTTTCATACCCCCGGCCGTTATGGGTACTTAACTAAGCCCGAATTCATTATAGTGTATAAATCATTCGCTCTATATTCATACCTTCAACATTCTCAAACTATGCCTAACTGTTAGATAATATTATTATACGTTAACGAGGAATTTGTGAGTTTTGATTAGCCGTTTACATCTCTCACACGACTATCCCTAATTAGGAAGAGCCTGTGCAAAGGTAACCAGACTGCTGATAAAGATTATAACACATTTCTAAATACACACATGTTATTGATGCATTACAGCCAAACAACAAAAATAATATAGAATAAAAACATAATCAATAGAGAAATAATATAGATAGGGCCACTCTCACAATTATTTGTCGTGGGTGGCAATCGAAGATAAAATATCTGACTGATCCTAACTGCTTATCATGACCACTATCCACTAGATAAATAACTCCGTCATATTTTAATAAAGAATATAATATGATGTCAAGTTACAAAAATTATGAAGATAGTTCTAACTATAACAAATAACGTTTTCCATTCCAGGTGACCGCTACAACTTGTTTTTCGTGTTTCATTCTCGGAATACCAATGTGCTTCAGCGGTGGAGTATACTTATTTACACTTCTTGATTGGAACACAGCCTCGTGGGCCGTACTGCTTATTGGTTTAGCAGAGGTAAGATTTAAACTCAAAAAAATTGTAGTTATTTCTATAAGTAACTATTTAAAATATTCTCAAGTTTAGACTGTAGACATGAATGAGACAATAGTTGACAATATTTTTTACAGTGGTATTTAATACTACTGCAGCACGTACGCATGCATGGCACCTTTTTTTTTACCTCCCCACTAGTGGGGTGGTTATGTCGGATTCGAATCAACCAAAAACACCCTGCACCCTAGAAAGGCAATCCGTAGCACTCCGACGTCCCTAGGGCCATCTACCCATCTACTATGTAGATGACCCCTTCATGTGTGGGGACCCCCATGTTCAACTTGTACATGCATACCACCTAGATTTAAATAAAAAAAATGTATAGAATACTTTCATTTAATTTACACATACATAAATGTGTATAAATACGACCAAATATTTGTGTTCGTCGTTCCAAATACAATTATATAAAATTACAAATTAACTTTTTCATCACCAGTGTGCTGCAGTATCGTGGAGCTACGGCATGAGCAATGCTTTGGATGATTTAAAACTAATGAAAATGAATTTTAACAAAGCACAACGATTCTACTGGATAGCTGTCTGGAAATTTATTGTACCTCTTGGAAGTCTTGTAAGTAAAAATAAAATATCTGTTAATATCATTTTACGGTCGCATCACTATTTTTATTCGTAACTTTTGCCTTTTACTGAGTATATTTATACGTTTTTAAATATTTAATTTGGTTATTTCTATCAATCGTGTTGATTACCGTATATATATTTTACACTATCTTTAGCAGATAAAAACCAAATTTGATCCGAAACTCTAACGGATAAAACGGTCTAAGTTTTTTTACTACAGAGTTCGGTATCTAATGAAAAGCTTAATAGCTAATGAAAAGTAGCGGAATTCTCTTCCTAGAGGATAGGATTAGGTTGACAATTTTTTCCCATGCAAGTCTCTCTATTTTCCTCGGTGTTTATTATGGTTCTTAATTTCTTCTCCTTTTTTTTCTAAGGGTATCCTGATCTTCATTTTCGTTAGATGGACACCGCCTTCGTATGGAGACTACGATTTTCCTCTATTTGCTGATCTGCTAGGGTGGGCTGTAGGATTGTCTACGGTCATTCTTTTCCCTATCGGCGTGGCATGGGCTTGGCACCATGGATACGTAAGTATTAATACAAGTAATATAACATGATACTTGTTTGTTGGAAAAATATAATAATATTAACTTTACAATCTTACACTTGGCCGTCTGTTTTCAAACTAGACCGAAACTGTGCTATGGTAATGTCTTAATTACAGCAGGTTCCGAATCCCTCCCATATCAGGCGCAGAGTAGCGCACCATGTAGTTTTAGTCGGTTCGATTCCTACTCACCATCCCGCCGCAAAGCCCGAGCTCGAGAGGGTTTCTACACATAAGAAAAAATGGTTACCAGACTTCTGATAAACATACTTATATATTTTTAAAACATACATATTATATGTAAATAGCACCCAGACACAGAACAAATGTTCCTGCTTATCATACAATTGTTTGTCCTGGGTGTGAATCGAACCCACGACCTGCGGCTTAGCAGTCAGGATCACCCGCCCATGTGTATGTATGATATCGCGATAATGTAGCTTTCTAATAGTGAGAGAAATGTTAAAATCGGTTAAGTGGTTTAGGCGTGTAAGCATAACAAATAAACAAACAAGCAAATAAACTCACCTTCACATTTATCATATAAGTATGGATTAACCATTTTCTAAACATGTCTGTGTAAGTTTGTCGGTCATTGTTTTTACAATACTAACTTAGCTTGAATCTGCTGTGTAAAATTTTCCTTTCTTTTTTCTTTTACAGAGGGGTAAAGATTTATTCCAACCGACCAAGGCTTGGCAACCAGCTGAAAAATCCTTAAGGGAACTCCGATCCGACTCTATAACGACCACCGAACCGGTACACCTAGAGCATTATGACAACCCCGGATTCGTGATGCCCTAAAAGTATCCAAATTTTCAAAGTCACTGTAAAAACGCGTTAAATATAACACCACGGACAAAATCAATTGGGTTTGTTGGCTCAATCCAATTGTATAATAAATATGGAATGTTCTAATAGCTACGTTTAGGGCATTTTTGCATACCTAAATGTGTCTCGCACTAACATTCCTGTCGCTTATCTGTTAATAAAGTTGTTTTCATGTCACGGTTAGGTATTGAAGGCTTATAAAAATTGTGTATTTATGCGCGATAAAACAGCCTTAATACCTTCACCAAAAACAACTAAACACAGTCAAGATGTGACGCAATTGTCCGCATTATGGCAGCATGTGCCTTATTTTTTATAAATTAAATACACATGATACCATGTCAATTGAGGCCCTTTAGCCTAAGTGCCTCATTTTGTACCTTAAATATAAGTTTATAACCAAAATATAAGTGTCTAACAAAACCTGAATAGAATTTCGCATAATGTTTGTCTTGGATGTCTGGATGCTTGATTATTAAGTTGCACTAAAAGTATTTAAGATCCTTAAAAAGCATTTACTGTAAGTTTCCGCATGATACTATCTGTGTAATACTTCCTCTGACAAATTAGGAAAACATTCAGGACCACAAAAATGTAAATATGTAAATAAGATATTTACGAAAAATAGTAAAATTCGTTTCAATGTATGTATATGTCCCTTCAGTTTTAATAAAGCCTCATTTTTAAATTGGGATTTTTATTCGACCTTCAACCAACCACCCACAATATTTAAATTGTATGTAAAACAAATAAAACTGTAACTACAGAAAAACTTCTGACATTAATTCGACACATGTCAAGTGGGCACTTAAGTCTTTAAATCCTCACTAGACTGTTAGTTTACAAAGAAACCATTGTGAACTTGACGTCAGCCATTCCTGTAAGAATTTAGAAAAGCCTCGATACACTACATGAAAAATCACTCACAAACATTGCAGGCGGTATAAGTTAATGTATTTTTAACTTTGTCTTCTTACTTTCTGCCCGTATATGTCAAATAATGTATTGTTTTTAAAAAGCTAATGGAAGAACTATTTTCGAAGTTTAAAAACTAAACTTTTATTTAGAAAATCGCTGTTTTTCGTGTTCTCTGATTTAAATTTAGGATTGACTTAAGAAGCACAAAAAATTGAAGCCAAATGTATCTTTGCTTATATGTTCCTCCATCCCACATTACCAAAATTCAATAGTACGTTTTTTTTTAAATAAGCGAACTTCCATACAGCAACAAAACGATTACTGAACACTGACGAACAAAAACTAATTTAGATCTTTCGATTCCTACTCAAATTAAATCGAATTCGTGCAACTTGACTAGGTTAAACGGACTTCGCAAGTATATCAAAATAAGGACAGTCTGAATAAAAATCATGAATCGTGTCTACAGTTG